ATTACCTGACATCAAGGGGCCCTTGTACAGTACAATTCTGCTGTGTGTCAGCCCTGTTTCCACATTTATAGACTGTTTATCCACCCCATGACACTTCCTGTTTTCAATTTCTATCCAATCAAACACATTACAGACTCTCTGAAGTCCCTGCCCAATCAATCAGGCCCACATTAGTTGTCATCTCTTTCCACTGAGTACGTGACACATTATAAGCACCAACCTACATCATCTCACAAAGACTGCAAAAGTCTTGATTATTTCCTTGGTAACAGTACATTATCAAGTCTTAGATTGCTCTACGGTCGTTCTGACATAAGCTTCTCTTTAACTCATTATTAATTGTTTTATAATCCCCACACATACTCAGATGATGTGAACTACAATTCAACTTTATAGTTAATCGTATTTAACTGAACATGAACCTTTGAGGCTGATGTTTTGTTTTCTCATTAAAGGTCTTATAACTATTTTCCTACTGAGTGTCATGGTTGATTTTAAAGTTAGCAGTCACTAAAATATATATTATTTATCAGCTTATGGCCTAGTTTAAAATTGTGTGACAGATATTCTAGTCATCTTTATATGATCTATTTTCCATAATTCATAATTAAACATTATATTCACCAACCCATATTATGTTATTTCCCACAATTTATCATCACATGTTATTTTATTCCTAACAGTATTCATAAATAATAAATTTTGGTTTATAACTTCTTTTTAGTCACCCCTGTTGAAAGAAGAGCATTAGAACTACTAACTGTCTGGGTACACTGAGCATGCAATATTAGTTTAAAATAAAAACATGCTACAGGTTTCTCAGCTTTGACAAGAACAGGACTTTTACTTGATGGAAAATCCATTTTAAGTTGGACAGAAATTATTTGTTAGTGTGTGGTTGACTGAGCAGGAACTGGCTCATTTGCAGTCCCAGAGTCGTGTCAATGCTGGTACAGATGCACAGTGGTGGAGGGACTGACATTCTTTTCTGTTTTTAAATAATATTTTTGTACAGCAAGTCTAAAGCAGAACAATGGCCGTGAGGATTTATTCCTGGCACTGAACTGACGTGAAAAATTGTAATTGTATTTTTGAATTTTATTCAATTATTTCATTTGACATGGATTGAATTAAATAATAGATTTAATAATTCATTTTTTTAACCTAGTATTTTCCATCACTAAGCAGGTAAAAACAACTATTATAAAAACTGTTAACCAACATATTTTTATATGAAATATCAGAAAAGCTGCTGCCCCCATGACCCGACTTTGGAATAAGCAGAAGATAATGGATAATCGATGGATGGATGGATTTAGATATTTTAGGAATAAATTAAATTACCATTTTGTAAACAGACAGACAGATACATATGTAGAAATCAAAGACAAAATCAAAGTAATATTATGAAAATTGTGTATTTTTAAGTAGTAGTTTCGGTAGTGACCGAAAGAATGAGATCATGGATACAGGAGGTGAAATGAGTTTCCTCCACAGGGTAGCTGAACTCTCCTTTAAAGACAGGGTGAGAAGTTCAGTTATCCGGGAGAGACTCGGAGTAGAACCGCTGCTCCTCCACATCGAGAGGAGCCAGTTGAGGTGGTTCGGGCATTTGGTAAGGATGCTCCCTGTGCACCTGCCTATAGGTGCTTTGGGCATGACAGACTGGGAGGAGACCCCGGGGAAGACCCAAGACACACTGGAGAGACTATGTCTCTCAGTTGACCTGGGAACACCTTGGGGTCCTCCCAGAAGAGCTGGAAGAGGTGGCTGTGGAAAGAGATGTCTGTGTCTCCCTGCTCAAGCTGCTGCCCCCGAGACCCAACTTCAGAATAAGTGGAAGATGATGGATGGATGGATGGATGGATGGATGGATGGATGGATGGATGGATGGATGGATGGATTTTTAAGACTTTCATAAACTCAGTCAATTTAGAAACTTCCCAAAAATGTGTTTGACAAAAACAGGTGCATGCATATGCTAGCTTAAACTGATTTGGTGAAGTATCATTTTATTTAAATTTTTTTTCATATCCATCCGTGTATTTACTTTACCCTCTTTGCCGTGCAGTGTTGCATACCGATATGTCCAGTAGTTACTGAGCAAGAGGCGGGACACAGACAGGCAACCAGTTCACTACAGGTCCACAGAAAAACAAACAAGACAGTAAGCGTTCACACTTTTGCTCACACCTAGTGACTATTTAGTTACAAATAATCTAACAAGCATGTTTCTGGTCTATGGGAAACCAGAGAAAGTGCAGGCTTGGAGAGATCACACAAACCCCTCATAGAAAATCTGGGTTTGTACTGAGGTGAGAGCTCTAACAACGTAATCACTGTGCCACCTTTCACATTCAGGTGTATTAAATGTGCAGCATCTGCATGATTCAGACAGATTAATGCCTTTAAGATCCTACATCCTAACTCCGTGATGTTGTTCCCATCAGAGAAAAGAACCTGTCTGGGACAGAGATAAAAGGGTGATGCACTTACTGGCATTTACTGATTATTGAGCATGCATCAGGACATTTACTGACAGGTTTGTTGTGACGTGACACTTAGAAAAAATGCAGATAAGATGAAGTGGAAAGGCATTTACCCGTTTACTGCTCACATTCCAGCTTACAGTCAAGTACAGTTGCTATTGTCTAAACAAACATATGTAGACAATCCTTGGAAGGACGTGGGTTACATGGGTTTCTTTTGTTTTGCATGAACTGTTGATTCATATTACTTAAGGTTACACAGTGTAGGTATTTTAGGCATCAGGTTATACTAAAATACTAAACTTTAGCACTTTTTGTAGATTGTTTTACAAAGACCAAAAAAGTTAATTTACAATATTGCAGAAAAAAACATTGCTAAAATTTGTAAAAAAAAATAGTGTAATAGTGTAGATTTGTTTCATTTTGTTGGTTCTGGACTTAAAGGCTCTAAACTCTATTGTTCCAGTCAGTATGCAAAAAGACAGACCGTAAAAACCAGTTAGACTAGCAAACCTTCGAACTGGGATCGTCAAAGTGACCTTCAAATTTCTGAGTTTATAAAGGAGCTGTCTGGAACTACTCCAAACAAACAGCTGTGTTTTTTTTTTTTTTACAAGAAACAGGCGGTTTCCTTGTTCTTTTTGTCGCCTGTGAATATAAAAACAAACAAAAAAGAAACAGGTTTAATTATGTCAGGTGTGCGGGCATAAACCTGGGCAGTTACAGGAAAAAAGAAAAGAAAAATTAACATGACAATGCATAAAACGGTAATGGAAAACTCAGTTACAAAGTTAACAAGAAAATATTTCTAACAAAATGCTCAACAAACAAAAGAACTCAAAACTAACTTATGATTAAACACATCTTCAGAAAGTGTCCGTTGATTTTGAGCTTAGGCACAATAATATTGCTTCATGCATATTATAATTGATAAATCAACATACGCTAATAACGCTGAAGTAATTTTATAGTGATGCAACGTTTCTATTTTCATAAGACAGATTAGCCTTCATTTTAAATGTATTTGAAAACGGTAACAGGTTTGTGCTTTTGGCATAAAGTAACAATTTCCAGTCTGTTTTATGGTTTTGGGCAGCCAAAACAAATTTCACAACACAAAAGAAGTTTTCAAGGAGGAAACAGGTGTGCGGGGGGGGGGAGACAAACACAAGAATCATGATAATATACAAACACCTGTCAAATATTGTACAAAAATAGCTAAATAAGATGTTGTCTTGATACCAATACCAGAATTGGTATTAAACCCAATACGAGCCTCAATTACTTGTACCTGTACTCACAAAAACACCCCAATATGTCAAACCAACACCACTTCTTGGTGATGTTATTTCCTCTTCAACTTTGCAAGTAAACAAAGACAAAGGTTATGACTGGAGTTATGACTGGAGGTGCCGAGGTCCAAACAAAGGTTCAGAGGAGACTGAGCTTTTTCTGTTGCCAATCCAAGTTTATTCAATTCATTCAATTCAGCTCATTTATAAAGCACCAAGTCACAACAGAACTCATCTCTGGGCACTAAGCAGAAATATTTATATATAAAAAAACAAGTTAATGTTATTTATCTGAGGAGCAGACTGCTTTGAGTTGAACTTCATCACAGACTCTCATTTTGAGCAAGCATGAAGGCGACAGTGGAAAGGAAAAATTCCCTCATGAGGAAGAACCCTTTAGCAGAACCAGGCCCAGGACAAGCGTCCATCTGCTTCCACTGGCTGGGTTTGGTAGGAACAGATACAGAATGGCAGCTCGAGAAGCACATGTTAAGATAGAAATAGTATCAAATGACAACTATTCAGTTTTAACAATTCATTTAAGGAAAGGAGGTCAGTTTGTTCTCCAGTAGTCTAAGTCTATAGCAGCATACCAAGCCAACCCTAACTATAGGATTTATCAAAAAGGAAAGTCTTAAGACCCGTCTTAAAACTGGACAATGTGTCAACCTTATGGACAGAAACTGGAAGTTGGTTCCACAACAGAGGAGCCTGATGACTGAAAGATCTTTCTCCTATTCTGCTTTTGGAAACTCTAGGAAACGCAAGTAAGCCTGCAGTCTGAGAACGAAGTGCTCTGTTCATGATTTGCCAACTTGCGCGTTGAACCCACATGCAGGAAGATGACAGTTGACTTGACGTAAAAAGTTTATCATAAATTTATTCATGAAAACAAAATCAAAATGCTGACAGGGCAGCTTACTCACTATGACAGGACGAGAGACAGAGCATGACACCATGAAGGACAATCCGGAGACAAATGACAAGACGTAAGGGAGCTGAATATATACACATACTGATTAGGACAAACAACAGGGACCTGCGGGGATTAACAGTGAACACAGGTGAGACAAGGACCGAACACTTAGGAGGAGGAGCACTGAGGGATGAATGGAAACATGAGGGAACAGAGAAAGACAGGACAAAACCCCACAACCCCTTCACTTAGGAAAATATGGAACAATAAGATCTCAAATATAAGATGGAGCTAGGTGGTTGAGAGCTTTGTAGAATAGAAGTAAGATTTTGAATTCTATTCTGAATTATGGAATTATCCCCGTCTTCCCATCAGACGAGCCAGATCATTGTCCATTTTTTAAAACTCTTAAAAACACATTTTTATTTCCTGGCTTTTGGCACAGCTCGAAATCTGCTCTGCACCACAGTTTTTATTGTTTTTATAGATCTTACTGTTGTAACTGTTTTATTCTTTTATGTGTTTAAATGTTCTTGATTTCATGTGAACAGCACTTCGTTGCAGCTGCGGCTGTTTTAAAAGGCTTTATAAATAAATAATAATTATTATTATTCCAACAACGTTCAGTCAGGTCATCTGGATGTTTCTTTCTTTCTTTCTTTATTTATTTATTTTTAGATGAGACGTTTCGTCCTTCATCCAAAGGACTTCATCAGTCCGAGAAGCCACAACAAACTCAGTCCTACAAGCAGCACACTCACACAGTGGAGCAACCAGTTGATAAGATGGTTTCTGTCCAGAAAAAAAAAAAACATCCGGATGAGCTAACTGAACTTTTTTGGATTTTTTTTACCTGGATTATTTAGCATGAACTTTGATATTATTATTATTATTATTATAAAAACTGTAACAAGTGTCCGTTTAAAGATACTTTACAATAACCACAGGTCATTTTATGACAGCAGACTGTTTGCTGTGCTCTTAATAAAATGAATGTGTTTCTAAAGTCACTGTGTAATGTTTAACTCATTATGTACTTTGTATTAGCACACAGTATCATCAAGTACCCAAACTGAAAAACTTGCACTTGGTCAGAAAATCAAGTATTGGGACATCCCTAAATTAAACAGGTGAATTAAGTTTTTTTTTTGTTTTAATACAAAAACTTGTAAAAATAAAATAAAAAAATGTCTCTCTTGATAGAACAGCAAGGAACCAACGTACGTGACTGTGAACTGGCAAGATTTTAATCTTACACAAAAATGATGTATCTGTTGACAGATAGATAAAGATAGTGTTTCTTGAACAATGTCTCGCAGCTGATCTCTGAAATACTTGCTTGGCGACATACTGTTGCCTGTAAACCTTCCTGAAGCGTACAACAATCTCATTTGAAGTGGAAGGACAGACTGGCAGTGCAGCAGTTGGCACAGGTAGGAACGAAATGACGTTTGACACCAAGTTAAATACATAGGTGGCAATTAAATAAATCGGGTATTGAATTAATCATTGAATATTTGTATTTATTATAGCATTATTTATTACAGTACTAGAATTTATTATTGATTTGTTAATTATTATAGGTATTGAATGTATTAGTTTTCTATATAATTTCTTTTTGGGGGATTTAGGTCAAGACTTGCCATGGAGGTAAAAGGCTTCATTATCTTTATGGTAAACTTGGTCGTTTCATCAGTACTCGCCAACCCTATGGTAAGTGTATTTATATTGTGCTGTCTCAGAATTTTTGACTTTTTACAAAATTAGACTATAAACCATTTCCAGTATAAATAAATCCTAACAGCAGCAAAAATTTTTATTTTTTTTACTCTACAGCGAAGGAATTTTCAAAAACATTTTCTTGGCTTTTGGCATTCATTTATCTATTATTTTATCATCAGAGCATCTATTTTTATAGAAGGTTTGACCACATATGTAAGAGGCAATGATGTCTGTACAGAGTACACCCCTGATAATCAGCTGATTTTATTTTAGACAAATAGAAATAAATGAAAAAAAATTGGCTAAGGTTATAGCAATTGTTTTTCTTAGCTGATTCATTCAAGTATTAACAACTATGTTGTTGTTGTTGTTGTTTTTATATATAAATATGTATATACAGGTCTATCAAGATTTAAGTCATGTAGAAATAGAGATAGGAGGTAAGTTCCAACATTTACTTTTTTGTTTTTCAAATATTTAATAAAATTTATAATTCAAGATTTTACATGTTAATGTGAATTGTCAAATAAAATGTGTATTTTTGTAGACATTGGTGAAAGGATTAAACTTCCAGATGGTAAGGTGATGTTTGTGTCAATAAATAAACATTCTAATAACAATTGACCTGTTAATGCCATATGACTCTGAGCATGTGATTTATTTTTGGCAACTACTATATTTTATGTTCTATCTTAGATTTATTACTTGATGACATTCGGAGGGTAAGTTAGTATTACTACAAGTTTGTTTTTTCACTTGTTCTGTCTGTAAGCTGTTTGTGTCTCACATGTTTTATGTCATATATGTCTCAGCCAAACACTCGTAGCTCGATTATTGACCCGACCAAACTCTGGACATCCCCAGTTTCCTATGTGTTGGACAAAAGTCTTGGTAATTGTTCATTATTTATTTATTTATATTTCACGACAGACTATATTGTGAATCTTTGAACTTGTGTAATAGCTAATAGTTTGCCTTGCTTGTCTGTAAATGTAAAATGTTTTTTTTTAAGCTTGAATATACAATTTAGCAAATGTCAATCATCAAAAAGGTGTTGTCTCAAGAAATCACAACTGAAAATGGAAACATCAAAAGCTACATTTTTTACCACTTTATTTTTTTTTATTTTTTTTTTTAATAGATATGAATGCTAAAGGAGTAATCTTGCGAGCATTAGACCAGTTCAGATTGAAGTCATGCATCGACTTTAAAGTATGGGAGTCTGAGAAGTTCTACCTAAACCTCCAAAAGTTCAGCGGGTATGTATTTATTTTCAATCACTTTTTTAAACGTTACTTACCGGTAGGGGCAGCACGGTGGCGCAACTGGTAGAGCTGCTGCCTCTCAGCGAGCAGGTCCCTGGTTCAAACCCCGGTCCAGGGGCCTTTCTGGGTGGAGTTTGCATGTTCTCTCCGTGCATGCGTGGGTTTTCTCCGGGTACTCCGGTTTCCTCCCACAGTCCAAAAACATGCATGTTAGGCTGATTGGTAACTCTAAATTGTCCCTAGGTGTGAGTGAGAGAGTGAATGGTTGTTTGTCTTGTTTGTCTCTATGTGGCCCTGCGATGGACTTGCGACCCGTCCAGGGTGTACCCCGCCCCTCGCACAGTGATTGCTGGACATGGGCACCAGCGACCCCCGTGACCCAAAATGGAACAAACGGGTAAAGATAATGGATGGATGGATGGACTTACCGGTAGTTTCAATAATTACCATTACACTATGCAACTTAAACAATTAACTGAATTATGCAATGTCCGTAATTCTAATAACTGGTCATATTCAGTAATATTAAATAAATGATTAATTCCACCAGGCTCTATCTGGGGTGTACTTACATGGTTCACTTATCTTGCACTGCTTTGTAATCTTTGCATGATGCCGAGTGATGGAAGTTCACAAAATGTCCACAAATTTAAAACACTTTTGGTCAATCTGCTCTCATCACTACAAGTGAGATAAAATGTTCTTAATGAGTTGAGGCAACATTGAAAGTCGTTCCAAATTGTATTTTATGCATAAAAAGTTAGCATGGGTTATTATGTTTGTTCAATATTGAGCTTCAGCATCTTCAGACTTTGTGTCCATTAACCTTTTAAACATGCGGTATTTCAAAAGATAAAAAAAAAAAAAAGTTTTATAAATTACTTTTATCCCCCCCCACACACACACACACCACCACTTTTTATGAGATTGCTTTATATAGCAGATGTGGTAAAAGTTATGTTAGTGTCTTGGCTTGTTTCGCTTTTTCGAGAAGAGAAAGCCCCAAATTGTATTATGGGAAGATGGCAAGCTACAGTGGGCAGCTTGAAAAATGTCCCACAGTAAAATCTTTACCCTTAACATTCTTGTGGATGTTACTTTAAGAAACACACGAAATTGGAAGCATTGAAAGCTAAAAGGGTCTCCAACATCCGATAGTATTTTATGTAGTTTTCTGTGCAAATCGCAATTTCCTATATTTGTTGAACAGCTTGTCTAATGTTATAATTTGATTAGTGTTTATATATTTAATGGAAGCTGTTTTACGAGTTTTCTCTGTTGTGTGCTCCGACATTTTTATATCTATTTATTTATTTTTTTTAATAATGCATTTCTCTACTTTAAATAACAACATTTAACACATTCTCTTTTACTACTGTCAAATATGTCTTGAAAAGGCAGATCACAGTTTGACTCATATTTTGGTATATCAGGTCAGGCACAATGCAAATTTTCATTTTATTAATTTAATTGCTTATTATTGCTAATAAGGGCTTTTTCTATTGTAGGTGTTGGTCTTATGTTGGCCAGACATTTGCCAATGGACAGGACCTCTCAATTGGAGCAGGCTGTGATATAATTGGAATCGCTGAACATGAGATCCTTCATGCTCTTGGCTTCTACCATGAACAGTCAAGATATGACAGAGATGATTATGTGCAGATTGTTTTGAACAACATCATAAAAGGTTTAACTTTATTTACAATTTTTGTTGCTGGTTTTCCCCTGTCAAGTATCCAAATAACTGATGGGCAGACTTTAATCAGTACTATGATTTAATATGTTTTTTGGATATTCATTTATGACGCAATTTCCTCACTGTTTTCCTTTTCTTTTGTCAGTAAATATTATAAATCTCCACTTGAAAGTGAGAATCTGTGCATTTGTGTGACTGTCATGTGAGAGATATGACCAAAATTTTCTAAGTGTTCTATTTTCTAAGTGCTTGTTTGGGTTTTCTCCGGGTACTCCGGTTTCCTCCCACAGACCAAAAACATGCATGTTAGTCTGCCTTCAGGCCCAGGCCTCCCTTGCAAAAGAGATCTGTGATCTCAATGGGATTTGCCTGGTTAAATAAAGGTTAATAAATTGCAAACATAAAACAGTTACAAAGCATAACATGTCAAGCCTATGACCTGTTGTTTTTGTTGTTTCTTTTAGAAGTTCATATTCCCTTTAAGGCTTTTCCACGCAAATTTCTTTATTGACTTTTGGTATTCTACTTGCTATTTAGGTTACGAGTCTAATTTTGACAAGATTAGCAGTGCAATCAGCAGCACTCATGGAACCCCATATGACTACTTGTCTGTGATGCACTACGATAAAAATGCATTCACCAATGGCAATGGCTCTACAATTATAACCATTGATCCTAAATACCAAGACGTGATTGGTCAAAGACTGGATATGAGTCCTCTTGATGTTGAAGAGTTAAACCTTCTCTACAACTGCAGTAAGTATTTAAAGACTGTTAAATATTTGAGATTGTGGGGCTCCCTTTAGGGTTCAACACAGCCAATCATCTATCTTCAGCCTTCTCCCCTTTCATTCTAACGCTTTATTTATTGATTATCTTTGCATTCATGAACTTTCTTGTTGGTCTTCTTCTTTTTGTTCTCCCTGGCAGCTACAGTACATATTCACCATCCTTTATTCAAAACATATTTACTATCCCTCCTCTGTAACATCTCCAAACCAGCTCTGTCTTGCCTCTTCGGCTTTGTGGTCAAACTACTCAACCTGAGCTGGCCCTCTGAAGGACTCAGTTATGCTCTTTTCCATTTTCGTGACATCCAACAAAACTCTTAATGTCTTCATATCTGCCACTTCCAGCTCTGCCTCCTGTCTTTTTGTTGGTTCCACTATCTCCAAACTATTCTCTTTCACTCTTGTAGCAATTCCTCTATCACAAAATCTTTCTTACACTTGTCTCCATCCACCTCAGCCAGTTTGCTCTTCTCTTTCCCACCGCTCTGGTAAGCAGCCAGTTGCTGACCCCTGTATCCTAAACACATCAACCTTCAGGATCTCTACTCCTTGCAGATTTTACAGTTGGACGTCTCTTTATTCACACATACTGTATATTCTCTGTCTTCCTTCTAAGGACATTAATTCTTCTTCCCTTCAAAGCATACAATATCTCCCCTTCTAGGCAGTGAGTACTACATCTCAATGTAATTACTGCCTTCTTTTTTTTTTTTTTTTACTCCAACAGACTCAAGCATTGCCTTTATGTTATACTGTGGTTTTTCTAATGGGACTACGTGCAGCATGGACCAGTGTTCACAGAATGGCAAGGGCTGGGAAGTGGTAACACAAGTTAGTGGAGGTCCAAGCTCTGACCATACTAGTCTACCCAGTGGAAGTGGAAATATCAGTAAGGTTTTACACTATTAATTTCTATTATTAAGTGAAAATGTTAAACACTGTATACTTAACTGTGTGCGTTGAAATGATCTGTGGTGTTTGGATTGATGCTGGATAAAAACATACAGATAAAATCATATAAATAAAAAGAGTACTAATAATTTGTGTAAAAACATTTACACGATAAAGTAAATGTATTATCTAGTGCAAAACATATTATCTGTTTTTAAAAAAAAGGCTTGTAAAACATGTTTGAAGCAAACAGCTTTTTGTGTTATGAAAATGTAGAATATTGTTCTTACAAACAAAAACATCTCTTTCCAATTGATATTTCATTTCTGTTTTTTTTTTTCTGTTCATCGTCTCACTTTGGGAACAGCCCATTCAGCTTTATGCATATTATTTTGTGAAACATCTCATGTATTTTAGTTTACATAGAGAATAAGAGTACAACCCACTATTTTTTATTTATTAATCCACGTTTTTAGGCAAAATTGCCTTTATCAAAGACACAGTTAAAATTGCATTCTCTTAACTCTAACCCCGCCTACCTAAGAACTTTCAAAGGTGCTTTGAAATGGATTTAATTTATTCTACAACAAAACAGTGATTTTTATTTTTATTGTTGTAAAAAGCACATACAGTAATGTGGTAGTCAATGCTCAAAATTACATGTAAATTCAATCTAGATGAAGAAAACAATTCATTGTCTCATTTTGCACTTTAATTTAGATCAGGAGTTGGGATACTTCATCCATGCCAGCACAGCATTAGGTCAAGAAGGAGATTCATCCCAGTTGAACACGCAGAGGATGAGTCCCAAAAGAGGATGCAATGTTCAATGTCTGCAGTTCTACTACTTCCACAGTGGGAATGAGTCTGACCAACTTAACATTTGGATCAGAGAGTTTCAAAATGACCAGGACACCACAGGAATGCTCCGCCTTGTGGGCCAGATCACTGGTACTGTCTAACAACCGAACTGCACAAATATTTGGCATGTTTTCTTTTTGAAGGTGTTTAGCTCAACAAAGATCCAAATCTCCTCTTTACAGGATCTCCAACATCTCACTGGAAGCTCCACTATGTTTCTCTGAATGCCACAAAACAGTTCCAGGTGATGTTTGAGGTTCGGAAAGGAGCAGGGAGGTCTACGGGTGGTTTCTCAGTTGATGACATCAATCTGTCGGAAACAGAGTGTCCACATGTATTTATACAGATTGATGACTTTGAGAACCTTTTAAGCACTAGCCCCTTTGGCACTGCACTATTCAGTCCACGGCAGTATTCCAAAGAAGGCTATGCTTATAGGGCAGCTGCTGTACTTTACAACACATTTGTTGGATTGTATGTGCAACTCTTGTCTGGTGACTATGATGGCCAGCTGCAGTGGCCCTGCGTACAAAAGCAAATTAATTTCCAGCTGCTTGATCAAAACCCCACCATTCAACAACAAATGTCAAAGCAACTGAGTTTCGTCAGTGATGAAACCCAAGTGATATCTAGTGGTAGGTATGAAAGAAAATCATTGAATTTAAAAACAGAACTCTTACATAAATGTATATCGTCTGTTTATTATTGTGTTTTACATTTTTCACATAAACAGGTACCCTTGTGTGGTCCAATCCACGTGTAACTGGACAAGGAGTTTTTTATGAGAATGCCGAGTTAGTTTATGGTGGACCTTTGTTTGGGTACTCGTATTTTGCATTCCTGAATGACTTGCAGTCCAGAGAATCCCTCAAGGGAGGCAGTGCTGTTTTCACGTTCAACTTTGAAGGTTGGTTGAAAGTGTTTCCTTTGAAAAATTAGACATGTCTAAAATTAAAGGAATGCTATAAAAATTCTTGAAATCCTTTCATACTAAAAGTGACATATTGCAACCACTTTTTAATTAATATTTATATTCATTTTAGACAGTAAGTTGGGGAGGGTACAGGTCAGAAATGGCTGGTGTTTGTACTTGTTGATGTAGTCGAGTTTTTGTGTTGATACGTATTTTAAACAAGGTTTAAAAAGCCATGTTTTTAATTACACTTCTAGATATGAAAGAGTTAAATTAGGACAACAAAAATGTAACATTGAATAATGTTCTAAGTTTAAACCCAGCGAATTTCAGTCAGAACCAAAATTGAAAACATACTAACATGAACAAGTGGGAAGAAAGTTCACGGTAAGGCATATTGTGTCACTTTTTGTTTTCTCTGCAGCTGGAGTAATTTGTTTGTTCGCAGAATTCTGTTTTACTGGATTTATCCATCTTTTGCGTAGTTCTACATTCTAATACACAAACATCCTCAATACAATTATTTCTTCTATTTGTTTTTATCTTTCAACAATTCTTGGTTGTGATCGATGTATTTGAAATCTACTGGCTTTTGCTAGCGTTAGCTTAGCATGACTTCTGTTCTCCACCAGCTTCCATTGTTCTCAGTTCCTCTGTGTGTTGGATGTTAAATAATTCCTCCCCCTCCTTTAGCGATAATAGTACATGTAATAAATGCAGTCTCATGGTAACTCTGGAGGAGAGGCTGTCTGGATTGTAGGCTCAGTGCCATGCTGGTGAAAAACCATTATCTAGAAGCTGAGGCGACAAGATGCTGTAGTTTTTGGCGGGAAATGTTGTCCCATATTTATATTTCGTCTAAACAAGGATTCTAGCTGTGCAGTAGTCCTGGATTCTCTTTGTCTCAATTTTCAGTTCATGAACATGCCAAACACTTTTTCATTTTTTTATGAGATTTTCAGATCATTGCATTTTGGTTTAATTTACATTTTACACAACTTCCCACATTTCTGGAATTGAGAAAAATAAAGCTCAATAACTTGGATGTTCCTAACAGACACGTGACAAGATTTATCCAACAATCTGTAAAACGTTGGTGTAAATTCTTCAGAGACTGAACAGTCCTGAGTTCAGTAGAAGTCAGACGGATTTCTCTTGACTCTGGAAGATGTTTTATCTCGCATCCTAAACAATTATTCAGTTCTGCTTCCAGGCTTATGTCATTCTATTACTCACAAAATAGTGCCTTTAAGGTTGCAATAGTTGCAAACTCTCCCCAACATCCTGTGAGTTGATTGTCTTGACAAGTGTTAAGAATATATGGTAGTATTTTACAAAAATGAGTATGTATTTATGTACTGTACCTAATATATGTAGGCCATATAGTAAGTAGATTTATTTGCATGTTTTGCAATACTTTATATGATAATGAAAATCATGTGTTGTTAATGGCTTCAATTCTTTGGAGAAACTAAAAGCAACAGATCTTTTTTTTTTTTTTTTGATGTTTTGTCCTTCATCCAAAGGACTTCATCAGTCCAAGGAGCCACAACAAACTGAGATCCACAAGCACTCCCATAGTGGACCAACCAGTTTGCTGATGATAAGATGGTTTCTGGGAAAACGTCCAGATGACCTAATGGAAATTTGTTGAATTTTCTACCTGGACTATTGAGCATGAACTTTGATGTTTTAACCGCTTTGGCTATGGTTGCCTCAGAGAAGTCGACAGGGGAGAGGGCATGCTCCAGAAACCATCTTATCACCAGCAAACTGGTTGGTCCACTATGTGGGTTTGTTGCTTGTGGGTCTCAGTTTGTTGTGGCTCCTCGGACTGATGAAGTCCTTTGGATGAAAGACGAATCGTCTCAAAAAAAAAAGAAAAGAAACCGTCCAGATGACCTGATTGAAATTTGTTGGATAATCTTTCCACAACTCTGGACTGTTTGCGTTTGTCAGAATGGGAAGATGGGGAAGGTGGAAATCTCCTAAAACAAATCTCCAGAAACAACGTTCACAATAGAACAAACTGTTTCTTATGTCTGTTTTTATTTTCTTCTTAGATTTCACTCCACTAGTTAATGGTAGTGCTCTACCTTGTCGTCAAGCGAGACCAGTAAACATTAAAAATCCTCCATCAGTTGGCTCATGCACACCAAGGTAACATTTTGTGTTATTTTAAATGTAATTTGACTGAAACTGTACATCAAAATATTGTCAAAATGTATGCTTTGGCATTATAAATGGATTCCAGCTCTCCTGACAAATAATGCTATGATTTTTACAGGAGCACGACCACCGTCAGTCCACCTCCCAAAACAACGAATAACAGGTATTGCCACTTTAAATTTAACGTGTTTTAGCAATAAAAACAATGTGGTCCAATGAACAGATGTAACGAACATTCGAAAACTTTAAAAGTGGAGGTGGGCAAATTAACCCATTTTCAAATTACATTGCAAATGCATACCCTACAAGGCAAAGTAATGTTTTTATTAGAATAAATGAATGCTTTTTCAGCCTGGGGTTTATTCCATGCTTTATAAATTAAGAAAATACAGGGTAAAAATAACAAAGAAGAATGGACAATATTTGAAACAAACAAACAAAAAAAACATTTTAAATATGTAAAAATATTGAAATTAATAAATGATGATTGCATGTCCTATTGCAATGCAAACACAGTTTGAAAAAAAAAAAAGTGGGTTTCCAGCCATGACCAAACAGATTTTTGAATCACAAAAGGCTTTATTAGTATTGTGAGTGTAAAAGTAAGTAAGTTACTTTTGACTGCTCCCTATTTTAGGGATTGCCACAGCAAGCAAATGAAAGATTCGACAATTGTTTCACACAAGTTGCCCTTCCTGTAACCTGGTCTCGAACCCGCAACCTCAGGATTATAACACCACAGCGCCAAGCTAATGTAGCCCCAGTGTGTTATCAAGTTCAAGTGTGTTTATTGTCATTTGCATCATATGTGGTCCATGCGGTGGAAAGAAATTGTGTACTCAAGGTCCCAGTTACACCCAAAAATAGCAAAAATATAAAGTATAAAAAGAAACAAAAGATCTAAAATATACGCTAAACACTCATAATGTAAAATAATATGGTATATTAAACAGCAGCCTGAACATGAGTCTGTAGTGAGTAGATGGGTATGAATGAATACAGCAGCATTTTGAGTGTGATGAGACATTTTATCTGAGCTTTGTAACAGTTATTGCTTGGAGCGGGTCATGTGAGACACATAGTAGCAAATTGAGTTAATGAGCATAGGTTGCAGTGCAAAGCAAATGAAAATATAGATTTTTCTAGTAATTGAGATGTGCATTAAAAGTTGTCCATAAGACACAATCTAGTGATCCTAGTCATTTATATATTATATAGTATTCCTAATATACCTTGAAATCAGTTTTTCAGTAGGTATGTCTTCAGAAATCTTTTTAAAGCTTTTGAGATAGAGTTTGAAAAAAAAAAAAAAAAAACCCTCAGCATTGAAATAAATGTATATACAGTATCTTCATTTTGGGGCAGCATTAGCTTAGTAATCAATGCCATCATCTTATGCCATGGCCTTGTAAAATCAAGCCTAGGTTGGTATAGATTCTCGGTCATCCAGGACATGGTAAATAAATAAAAAAAAGTTTAAAAACAAAACCAACTGGACTTCTTGTAGCTGAAGATGTTTTGCTTCTCATCCGAGGAGCTTTCTAAATAAAAAAAAAACAGCGTGGAGTTCAAATTTTGAAAAACTCAAACTCAACATATATTCATATTTGACATCATAAGGGAATAATAATAATTCCTCTCTGTAGAGGTTGTATCGGGAAGGACATCCAGAGTAAAAACGTTGCCAAATCTTTCATGTGAGGTTGCTTACCGTGACGACCCTGGCAAGTAGGGAGCAGCAAAAGAAAAGCAACAATTGGATTTTTTTTTTTTCATTTTGACTTATTTTTCTAGCACATAAATTGGTTGTATTCTAGACATTTGTTCTCACATATATGTGTATGTGTTGTCAAATATATCTGTTCTTTTTACAGCATCTCAGCTGCCACCAGTCCACATCCTATAACAACAAACAACAGGTATCTCCACATTTAATCAAATATTTGACCCTTGCAACAACTGATGTAGCAATCATTAGATGTAGTGTTATAAAAAGCTGTAACATAATACAAAGCATTAGCATGATGAAAGATTTTATTATATCATTATGGTAGGTAAAGTCACTAACATTCAAATTACATTATAAAGGGGATGACAGCCTTAAAGGAGACAAAGTTGTTTGCTATTAGTTTGTTTTTAGGTATTTTTTAAAGTGTCATCCTTAAACCTCATATTATCCTAAGGAGTTATGAGGAAATGCACATTTATTCATATGGAACATTTTATACCAGAGTACAACTCAAAGTGCTTCATACTTTGTAGAATATAAACAAATTAACACTAACAAGGTAAAATGACGTGCACACAAATACATCCACACACACAGACACAAAATGTTATAATTGTAACAAACAATTACTAAAAGCAGTACTAAACAGTTTAATATCAATTGATTGATACTATTGGATGACTGAGATTCTTTACCTGCATTTAATATAAGTTGGTTAAAAACAATAGCAAATAAGTTTGACTTTAATTTTATATTAGTGATGGTAATATAAGGGCCCGGTTTATTCTCCTTAGGCAGTTTGTTCCACAGGTGATGGACATAAACAGCCTTTTAGCGTTAAGATATTGTCAAATCTTTCATGTGGGATTAATTGCTGTTGTGACCCCCCCAAAAAGGGAGTGCCCAAAAAAAGAATCAAAACTGAAAAAGTCCTTGTTTTGACTTAATTCGCTAGCACAGATCACATACCTTTAAACTATTCTACAGTCTTTCCCACGTTTTGCGTGTTGTCAAATATATTTGTTCCTTTTACAGCATCTCAACTGCCACCAGTCCATCTCCTACAACAACAAACAACAGGTATCTCCATATTTAATCAAATGTTTGAGACTTGCAACAACTGATGAGGCAATCAATCTGTCTTATACTTGAGTAAGCCACACAAGTGGCATGGCTTGTTTATTTAAAATAATCAAGTGAAAAACGAACCGAGCCTTTTTTCCGCCTCAGCGATCACTGAGCGGGCCAGGCCACCGGGAAATGTCCCAGTGCTCCCGATGGCCAGTCCACCCCTAAGAGGCGGACTGTCCGAGCAGATGCGCTCGTACTGCGGCAGACCTCAGAGCTGACCGACCTTCCGCTCCAAGTCGTGGCACTTATGGAAGGTGAGCCGAGCGCTTACGAAGCTTCGAGCTCAAATGTGCAGAGACAAGCGTGCTTGGGTCAGGGCTGGCATGTGCAGGCACACAGCCAGAGACCTGCACTGATTGGTTCAGTAACCGTAGCATCAGTCTGTCTGCTCTCTTCTGCTGTGTAATGGCTACGAGAGGGTCCCAGAAAATCAACCACACCCTGGAATGAACAAAAATATTTATTTAAAATTTTATCAGGAGGAGAAAGTCAGCTGTGACTCTGTAGAGCTCGATCACAGGTGGAGAAGCTGAAGCTGCGATGACATCATAGGGAAAAGAGGTTTAAACGGATCACGTGATGTGTGAGCATAACCTGGAAGATCTGACAAACACTCTTCAGAAGATGGAGCTTGGTTCTGAGACCGCAACTCCTAGAGTCCAGGGTATGAGTTTATTGTCAAAAATACTGGCGTGGGTCATTCAGGCATAAAATTGATACTTATCCAAGGGGTTTAGCTGGAATTGGTGGTCTGAACACAGAGCAGAAACCAAGGTCCAGATATCGATTGGCAGAAGTATCCGTCATGGGCAAGGCAAAGGGCAGAATCTGTGGTCATAAAGTGGGTCAGGAACAAGAGCAGGATCAAGAATGCTGTATACTTCAGGCACGAGGCGATCAGACAATCTTGCAGGGAGGCAGAAATTGGGGAGTGCTTAGGAAGCACAGTGCACAGGTGCAGAAGAAGAGAGACTGGGAGTGACACAGGTGATAAGCATGAATGTGATTGCGGTGGAGAAGTAGGCGTGGCATTTGGCAAAGAGCAGAGTTCATGACACGCTGTGCTATTTTAGAGCACTTATGGAGTTTAGAACATTGTTAAGAACATTGCAAGAGTGTGGGAAGGGTTTATAAAGCCTTAAAATATTAAAATATAAATAACGTCCCTCGTGGATTTTAACTTATCTTGGGGTTGTCTGGAACGTAACCCCGTGATAAGTGAGGGACTACTGTTTGCAAAACAACTACTAAAAACAGTACAGCGCAGTTTAAAACCAATTCATTGATACAAATGAATGACTGGGAATCTTCACCTGAGTTTAATATCAGTTAGTTATGAACAAATGCAAATAAGTATGTTTTTAATTTGATATTATTTATGGTCAGATAAGGGTCAAATCGTATGCAGCGTCTGTCCTTGGGCAGTTTGTTCCACAGGTTATGAGCATAAAACAGCATTTCAGCATTAAAATATTGTGAAAACTTTCATGTGAGATTGCTTGCTGTGGTGAACCACTAGAAAGCGAGTGCCAAAAGAAAAGCAACAACATTGAAAAACATCCTCGTTTTGATCTATTTTACTAGAACAGGTCACATATATTTATTGCATTCCATACGGATTTTCCCACATAAATTTATGTGTTGTTAAATATATCTGTCCCTTTTACAGCATCTCAACCTCCACCAGTCCAACTCCTAAAACAACAAACAGGTACTGTATCTCCATATTTAATTAAAAAAAATATGACACTTGCTACGACTGATGTAGTAATCAAAAGATTTAGTGTTATAAAAAGCTGTAACACAATAGAAAACAATAGCAAATAAGTATGTATTTCATTTTATATTATTTATGGTCAGATAAGGGTCGAGTCTGATCTCCTTAGGCAGTTTGTTCCGCAGGTGATAGGCATAAAACTGCATGTCAGCGTTAAAATATTGTTAAATCGTTCATGTGAGATTAATTGCTGTGGCGACCCCCCAAAAAAGGCAGTGCCAAAAGAAAAGAATCAACATTGAAAAAGTCCTCGTTTCGACTTATTTTGCTAGCACAGGTCACATATCTTTATCATATTCTATACAGTCTTTCTAACAAGTTTTATGTGTGTAGTCAAATATATCTGTACATTTTGCAGCATCTCAACCGCCACCAGTCCACCTCCTACAACAACAAACAACAGGTATCTCCATATTTCATCAAATGTTCGAAACATGCAACAACTGATGTAGCAATCAAAAGATGTAGTGCTATGAAAAGCTGTAACAATAGAAAACATTAGCAAATAACTGTGTCTTTAATTTTATTTATCATTATGGCAGCAGTTAAATTCACTTACATCCAAATTACAAAATAAAGGTAATGACTGTCTTAAAGGAGACAAAGGTGTTTTCGTTCGTTTGTTTTTGGTGTTTTTTTTTATAGTGTCATCCTAAAACCTCATTTAACCTAAGGAATTATGAGGCAAGGCAAATTTATTTAAATGGAACATTTTAATTCAGGGTACAGCTCAAGGTGCTTAACAGAAATTTAATAAGACAAAGGCAAAAAAGAAATGCAGACACAGAGACACAACATTTCAAAATTGTAAAGAACAATTACTAAAAGCAGTACTAAATGGTTCAATATCAATTCATTTATACTAAGAAATTACTGAGATTCTTCACCTGCATTTAATATCAGTTAGTTAAAAACAAGTGCAGATAAGTATGTCGTTTAGTTTGAATTATTTATCGTCAGATAACGGTAAAGTCTGATCTATATAGGCAGTTTATTCCACAGGTCAAGGGCATAAAAAAGCATTTCAGCGTTAAAATATTGTCAAATCTTTCATGTACAGTAAAATTACTAGCTGTGGCAACGGGAGCAGCCAAAAGAAAAGCAACAACGTTGAAAATGTTCTGGTTTTCACTTATTTTGCTAGGACAGGTCACATATTGTATTCTACAGTCTTTCCCACATTTTGTTTTTGTGTGTATGTCAAAAATATCTGTACCTTTTACAGCATCACAATCATCATCAGACCACCTCCTCCAACAACAAACAACAGGTATCTCCATATTTAATCAAACGTTTGACACTTGCAACAACTGATGCAGCAATCAAAAGATGTAGTGTTATCAAAAGCTGTAACAATAGAAAACCTTAGCATGATGGAAGATTTAGTTTTTATCATTATGGCAGGTGAATTCACTTAATTCAAATTACATTACAAAGGTGATGACAGCATTATAGGAGAAACAGTTGTTTTTTGTTAGTTTGTTTTTAGGTATTTTTGTATACTATAATCCTTAAAGCTCATTTTAGCTGAAGGAAATACCGCATTTTCCACCGTATAAGTCGCACCAGTCCAAATATGTCTAAAAAAGTTTTTAAAAATCCATAAATACATCGCTTCGCCATATATGTCGCATCTATTATGCGTCACCGCTGACAACACTGAAATGTGGGCTCGTGTTGTGCCAAAATTTGATTGGCTGCCAAATGGTGGCCTCGGATGCGTGGATGGCCTTGATAAGAATTTAACAAGATTAACACTCAAAAATAATTATTTGTTTTTGAGTGTTAATCAAATTATAGCAAAGGTGTATCTCAGTCTAACTTTTCCTTAATAAATGCACTTTGGCTGTCAAATCAGCTGCATTTCAAAAACCGATACGCAGAAGTACGAGCGTGCAAGAGAGGACTCGCTGTGCATATCTTTGAAATTTAACAAGATCTTCACCGGAAACAATTATTTGTTTGCTCGACTTTATAGCAAAGGTGTGTCTCAGTAGAACTTTTACTTAACAAATGCACTTCACTGGTTAAATTAGCTGCATTTCGTCGGGGCGTCGCAGCAAAATTAAGCTGATTTGACGGTTGCTCCAGGCGAGCTGGACGAAGGTGGCAGGCTATGACAAAGTGATTGTGTCATTAATAGTCACGTTTACCTATTACATGAAATAATGCCATGCTAAACTACTAGAGTGCCATCTAGTGGTTGAAAATGGTAATATTCAATATTTTCAGTCAGAATAAATGAAAACAGTCATATCTCAGCCAAAAATTGGTTTATAAATACGGGAAAAAAAATCCATAAATAAGTAGCTTCAGCGTATAAGTCGCAGGGCATGCAAATTATGGAGAAAATCTCAATTTATAGTCCGAAAAATACAGTATGACGCAAGACAAATTTATTCATGTGGAACGTTTTGTACTAAGGTGCTTTGCATAATATGAAGAAGTTAACAAGCACAAGGTAAAAAAAGACATAAAAACACAAATATAGTGGTGATTGAATGTTTGTGAACCCTTTAGAATTTTCTATATTTCTGCATAAATATAACCTAAAACATCATCAGATTTTCACACAAGTCCTAAAAGTAGATAAAGAGAATCCAGTTAAACAAATGAGGCAAAACTATTATATTTAGTCCAAAAAAGTTAAATCTGGTCCTCTGGACATTCAAAAAAACAAAAGCAAAACAAAGCAAAAGCAAAAAAAAATAATCTAGAAACGTTTCGTCTCTCATCCAAGAGACTTCCTCAGTCTGAGGTGCTGTTTTCAGCTCAGTCTCTTAAATAGCACCTTCTTAGAGTGGATCAACCAGTTTTGCTGCTGACAACCAAAACCAGCTGATCACATGCTCAAGAAGGACCATCAGCCTAACAATGGGTCATTAGCACACTGATGGCTGTTTACTACTCACAGAGGGCTGAGTGATACTAGCAATCACAGCATTGTAAGAGGGGGACAGTTGAACCCGGAGGCCTCCACCCCTGTTTAATGATGGACGATTTCTTTTCACAAAGATGACCTCCTTTACTCCTCTCTCAAACCATCGTTCCTCTCTGTCCAGGATGTGAACATCTTCACCTGGATTATTGAGCATGCATCAGGATATTATATTTAGTCATTTATTTATTGAGGAAAATGATCCATTACATATTTGTGAGTGGCAAAAATATCTGAACCCTTGCTTTCAGTATCTGGTGTGTCACCCCACTCCCCCCCCC